CACAAAGCAGCTGGTTTTTGATCAACAGCGCCGTACATCTCCTCACAAAGAGATAAAATTGCATCTTCAGTTGATTTTTGCCGTCTAAAACCAAACTGGCTTTCAGATTTAATGTTGTTATCTTCAAGAAACTTTAGCATTCGGTTTTTTATTAATTTCTCAAAAATTTTCGGAATGTTTGAAACTAGAGAAATTGGTCTATAATTGTTTATATCCACCCTTTCACCATCTTTGAACAAGGGTTTAACCTTTCCCAACTTGAGTATCTCTGGGAAACAGCCTATTTCAAAAGATAAATTAATTAAATATGCCAAAATTGTTGATATTTCGCAGACAATTTCCTGTAACACTTCGGCCCTTATATTATCGGGTCCTGGCGACTTTTTGGGTTTCAATTCCTTTATTACCTTTTGTACTTCTATGACAGACACTCTTTGAAAAAAATTTAAACTGTTTTGCACCCATTCCACATGCTCGTTATATCCTAGAGGACTGCTAATCTGGCTTGAAAGATTATTTCCAAAATCAGAAAAAAAATTGTTAAAATGATTAGTTATTTCAAGAGGATCTGTGACAACATCAGAGCTTTGAAGTTTTATTTTGTTTATTATGGTTTTATTATGTGTTTTATTAAAAATTTTATTAACAGCTTGCCATAAAGCACTAGAATTGTTTTTATTTTTCATTATCATATTTTGTGTAGAGGATTTTTTAGCTGTTTTAATTTCTTTTCCTAATTTATTTTTGTAGTTGTTATATCTACTTTTCAATTCAATATTTTCAGGATTTTTTAAGTGGAGGCTGTTTACAAAATTTGAAGTCGCCAAGTTTAAGTCCTGACACTCATACACCTCAATCCATGATTTAGCCATAATATCGATCCTAAGCTGTTTGTAATTAACAGATCTTTTGGCAATGCCCTGATCCTGGTTTTGAGTCCGACTCCTACAGTTCTCAGAAAAAGAAAGCAAAATAGGACAGTGATCAGTGATATTATAGTTAATTATGCAAGATTCGGCATTTAAGAAGTTTTGATCCCCTTTCATGTAAAAATGATCCAAACAGGTCTTTGAGATCGGTCTAGTCTAGTGTATCCATTTACATAAGTGTAAACCCATAGGTTGCTAGAATTGTTTTATATTTTTCAGTAGGTACTTTGTTTATTGGTTTTTAAAATGTCAAAATTAAGGTCACCAGCAATAATGTGTCTTTCTAGGTTTATATTTACATCAAGATAATTTACCAGGTTGTCCAAGAAGACATTTTCATTTATTGCCGGTAATCGATATACAGGGTGTCCCAAAAAGATACCGACAAACTTTAAGGGGTAGTAGGGGACATCATAACAAGCATTTTTGTTTATATAAACATATGTCCGCAAATGAGCCATTTGGGCTGTAGAGCAAAAAAAACTGTTTGGTATCTAGTTTTATTCTTCGCAATAATTAAATCACTGTTTACTTATTAATTTTGCTTTAATAGCAAATAAATTATGGTTTACAATAATTTTTCAACTTGCGAACTCTTTGGAATATTCCAGGAATAGCTTCTACATGGGTACAACTCGCCAGTATCCTTGCTTTCAGATTTTCCTCATTACGAACAGGTGTTTCGTAGACTAAACTTTTCAGTCAATGACCCGACGGTGTAATCTTTGCATTGAAGTAAATGGTCAACATTTTGAACAATTATTCCAAACCATAATTTATTTGATAATAAAGCAAAATTATTAAGTAAACAGTGATTTAATCATTGCGAAGAAAAAAGTATCAAACAGTTTTTTTGCTCTATACAGCCCAAATGGCTCATTTGCGGACATATGTTTATATAAACAAAAATGCTTTTTTGATGTCCCCTATACTACCCCTTAAAGTTTGTCGGTATCTTTTTGGGACACCCTGTATACAAGTATATCCAAATTGCGGCCCAAATAGGCAGGTATAAACTTTTTCCAAGTTTATGTATGGCAAAATTGCGGCCCAAAAATTTAATTTGATTCAGCCATGGCAGAATTGCGGCCTAAACAGAAAAGTTCACTGTTCCTACTTTTAGCGATTTATCATGAAATATACCTAATTGGGGAAAATAAAAAGCCGCTTTGAGTTAAAGATATTTATTTTTATGATAAACAAAAAAATTATTAATACATTGACAAATGTAAAATAGAATCATATTCAATTAACAACCTATTAGGCAATTCAAACCACGTGACATTCAAGATGGCGTAGCGGCCACACATGGACCAAAAAACACAAAAAAATGTCTAGCTTCTTCCCGACTTAATAGTTTACGTACCTAGTAAACAAATATTTTATTGAATAATCAAAATCAAAGCTGCAAGCAAAGCTCGAAGTAAAATAATTAAAATATACATGAAAACACATATTCAAAACAAACTTGCTGGCCGCCACGCCATATTGAATTTCTCGTTTTGACAGATGGATTGAATTGCCTAATTTCGTGTATACAAAAGGGTACCTGTTTATAAAAAGGTTATACTTGATAAAGTTAGTGGGTATGTACTCTTTCTATATTGGACATAAATTTAACAAATTCGAGTCTAGAAATAGCACCAGAAATATACTGATTCGTTTTCGAATCTAAGAGGTAGGTACTGATGGCTTTTTGCTTTTTCAGAAATTTTTACCGGTTTATTCGAATCACGTAATTTAGTGTATGTGTCTGTTTGCATATCTTTAAGAACATCCAAAAAAGTATATAAAGCAGGATGTTCAGAATAAAAAGAATGGAAACTCTCACATGCATTTGTTGTATGGTCGGTCGACACGCTCTCGTTGGCCCATAACGTTGGTGGAAAAGCAGCATCTTCTTCTATGTAGTTGGTTACCAAATAATCAGCAAACTGGGTCATTTTTTCGTCATTCGGTTGCAGCTCCGCTAAATCAAATGCAAAACATTCTCCCATATCATTAGCCTTCAGAAATGGAAGTCCAAATACATATTTTAACCACTTTCCACTGGGGTTTTTTATGTCCTTATAAATTGGCACTAATCCAGTTTTTTGGATTTGCCTAAACCATGCTTGTGATAGATGGAATCTAGAACCTTCCAATTTACTTTCTGGCCATGATGAACGTACAGCATTTTGTATAGCTCTTTCAAAATCCGTGACTATTCCATTTGGCTTAAGAACATATCCTAAGGCATTGCACTTTTCAATAATTGAAGTGAACATTTTATAAATTGTTTCTTGTTTTCCAGGCAACAAACAAAAAAGTAATGGAATGTAATGCCCACTAAATATAGCATGGATGGTAAATAACTGAACGAAGAACTTGGTACAAAACCGAAAAGAGCAGTACAGTCCTTTTTCACATAAGGCCAAAACAACTCTTCACTCTTCTTCAACACTTTTCTCTTAGCGTATTTAAAGCCGTTCAATAATAGCAAAGGTTTTCCCTTTTCACTCTCAATATTATTCGAATTTGATGTTGCTAAGTTAAGGACGCAATACATTATGATAAATATTTCTTTTTGAAATGTACTCCTTATCCGGGGAAGGGGTATATCAACAATGGCTTTATAATGAAAATTTCGGCGAACTGACAATTTTTTAATAAATTATTCCTACATAGAAGTTATTAACATAAATTTAATAATTTTCAATTGATATGGTAGATATTTATTACGGGCCGCAATAATCCCATCCTGCTTAGGTCAAAACAGGTAATAATTTTATTAACTGCAAATTTTATTAGGGCTAACCCTTATTTTTGGGGTGCAATGTGGCTATTATTTTTACCTACCTGATTATTTAGGCCGCAATTTGACAAACCCGATACAAGTAATGTAAAAATTTTTGTTATCGCCAATCTCTAGCTCCAGGCATTTTACCTCACCTATGTCTCCAAATTTAAAATTACATAATATAGAATCTTTCACAAAAACAATGATTCCATCACATTTATTGTAAGTACCTTGATTATAAATTGTTTTGTAGCCAAAAATTTTAAATATTTGCAAGTCCCAAATCCTGTGAGTTTCAGTCAAGATAATTATATCTATTTGACAATTTAGGTATTCCAAAAAACACAAGAATTCATCGAAATATTTGTTTATGCTACAAATGTTTAAGTGGAGTATCTTAAAGCTATCATTTTTAATTTGTCTACTAAGAACTTTAACATTATTTGCGATATTTGTTCTTACAACTTCATCTCTAAAAGTTTTTATAAAACTATCCATTATTTAATAACTCATTCAAGAAGATAAAAAATTATACAGAAAAGAAATTATTGATAGGGATTTAAACAAAGCGGTTGGTAGTAATCAAAATTCAAATAATGTAACTAGACCAAAAATACCTAAAAGAATGCCATTGAGATTAACAGATTACGTAACATTGGACGAAATTGTCTAGGGAAATTCTGAGGAATTTGAGGAAAGTAAGCACACAAACAAAAATTCTTTATTTTAATTTGACAACTAAAATGTACGAAACATTACTCGAATCATGTATGTAATGAAGGAAATAATTGAGCTTATTTTCATGTTGATCGTTATGATGATAGATTTGAATGTGTACCTTATGTTGTATAATAATTATAAAGGCGCTCATACCTACCCAACCTTGCAGAACATTGTCAAATTGTACTGTTCCAAAAACAAGGACATATTACTTTAAGTAATTACGAAAATTCTAAGCGAGGGGAAGTGCGGTAACGCAACCAACAATACAATTTATTAATTATATTCAATTCAAGTATGACATGCACGCAGCCAAGAGGCAATGAGCTCGCTCTATTTTCCAGAACGTTCTTCTGCTACCGACCGCCATACTGAATAGTCTAAATTGCAAGTTCTTAATTGTGATGTAACGAACTTCGATATTTTATCATTTTATAATAAATGTGTGTATTAATGTGATTGTTTAATGTATACCATCCTGGACTTGAACCCAAAATAACTTAGCTGAAGTATAAGACTTCACAAGAACCATATTATCAAACATTAAATGCAATTATTGAGTAGGTACTTACTTTGAGAAACATCACTGACAATATTCAATTTGCTATTCTGATCCGAAACTAATCGCTCGTAAATTTTGCGAATGTCATCAGAGTCAGAGCCACCGATGGTATTTAAATAAACTGTTGTTTTGCCGTAAGCGCTCAAAGATATTTTTAAAGGAGGTCCACTATCAAGTGTGTCATCTGCTTGTGTTTGGGAGCCCATATAAACACACAATCCAATGAAAAGAAAAGCAACAAGTGTCTAAAATGATGATGGTTTAATATGAATACATATCGTCGTTAATTTGACAAAGGGACGTATATGAGAAATAAGCGATTTTTCGTTTTCAGGGAATTTATGTCGCAAAACATCAAAATTATACGCCCTCTAATTGGCGCATATGAACTGCCAGTAGTTTCTGAGTTAGACACATTTTTCTTTTAGACGTATGTTTTGAAACAAGAAATATGTATCTTCCTAAAAGGCGTATATCATATACGTCTGTAATATTTTTTTTTTAGAGATGACCTTGAAGCTCGCGTTGGCGTATATAGTAATACATACGCCTTTTTGCTGACGCGCACCAAACCTGTTTTAAACTAAAATTTAGCTCATATCGGAAGACATTAGTCAGTCAATTTACTGCACTTGTTCGTGTTTTGGTTTGTGTTTTTATTGCTTTTCAAACAAACAAAGATGGATGTTCTAATTAAATGGACAGGCAGCACACAAAATATTGTGGATTCGCGACAGATAGTGGTTTTGGGCAAAAATAAAACTCTAAAAGAAGGCAGTTATGTGAAAATATGGTAGGTATGAAAAAAAAAAATGGTATTGTGGATCTGTCATAGCTGTAGAGAAAAATGAGGACTATGATGATACGTCAGCTACATTACCATATAGTGATTATTCTAGTGATGAGGAATCGAATTTGCCAATCAAACTATAAGAAAAAAATGATTTAAACAAGCCAGTAGTCGGCAATGAGGCTAAATCATAATTAGGTATAGTAGTAGAGAGTAGAGAAGCCCTAACGATAGGTATGCCTTAAACTGACATTTGTCCATGAAAAAATGTCATTTTAGGGAATACTTATCGTTATGTTTCCCCTAAAATAGTTGGTGGAAACGGCCATGAGTCAACCGTTTATTTATATTAAGTTTGATTCGTAAAGTTTATTCTTAGCAGCAAAACATAATACAATCAAATTTTATTAATTTTAATATTATGCAATAAAAATGTATTCTAATTTAGGCAGATGTGTTTTTTAAAAATTCCAACCACTCTACCTTGTTGCCATTAAACTACAAACCATTAAGAGAGTATAAAAAAAATATAGTTGACAAACCTGTACAAAGGGCAGTATATGACTTATTTTGGGAGGCGTATGTGAAACGTGCAAAAATAAAATTTTGCAAAGTGGCGTAAATGTATTTTTTTCAAAATTTTCAGACTAAAAATGAAAGTATTCTACTTTTATGAACAGTATTCCAAATACCACTTAATAGCCTGTAAGTACACCAAAAGACATTTTAATATCTATTTTGGTTTTTGACTCATAAGCTTTCAAATTTATTGAAAAAATCAAATGCTTGTCCTGAAAAATTAATAAATTCAATATACGCCCATTAGTGAAATTAACGACGATATATTCCGATGCAGAGATAACTCACTGGAATTATGTAAAATATGGATTTTCTGAAAATGAATATGTATCTCTTGAAAATTAAAGCTTTCAAGGTTAGGTAGAAGGCAGATTCTAAAACAATAATTACTTATCACAGAACAAAAATGGAGTAAAACATTTTCACTCACCTTTTGTTCTTGCGATGGATGTCAAATCGCTTCTAACATATTCATCATCTTCCTCGTGCGCAGTCACTTTGGGACTAAAACATCCAAAAATGAACATCATTTAAGCAGCTATTGAAATTTGATTAACCTTAAAAACACATCTTCAAGGGTGGTGCAAGTAAAAGAAATATTTTCAATGCCATATTTATCCTTATTGGATTCCAAGAATTCGAACAATTTAATGTAGTTGCCTTCAGGAAGGAAAAATCGGACCTCATTACCATTGATACCAATGCATTTTGCTGAGTTAAACATGGACTTTATCACTTTTTCAAGTTCCTTAACAGCCTCTTTGACATCTTTGTTTTTTTTAATGAGCAGAATCAAGTTGGAACCAGTTTCTAGAATATATTTAAATTCATTTTAGAAAGAATATTCATTTACCTACTATGCCAAATTTTATTTACCATACTGCTTTTTTAGATACATTGGGGTACCATAGCATTTTAGTTCTCCATCGTTCATAATAGCAATCCAGTCGCCAAGGGCATCAGCTTCTTCCATAAAATGCGTGGTGATAAGAATTGTTTTTTCATTTCTCCATTCATGTAGCAAATCCCACATTTCTCTACGGGATTCTGGATCCATTCCTGATGATGGTTCGTCCAGTATCAAAATCTACAAAAATTTCAAATTATTTTCTGATTATTTTACTAAATTTTGATACACCTTTGATCCTCCAATAACTGCCATGCCAAGGCAAAGCTTTCTTTTCATACCGCCAGACAGTTTGTCAGCCAAAGAGTTTTTTTTGTCACTCAGATGTAATTTGGGTAAAAGATCCTGTATTTCACGTTTAGATTCTTGACAACTTTTGCCTTTCAACTATAGAGAAATTATATCAAGATTTGAAGTTTCAAGAATCTGGTATCAGATTTTACCATTGCAAAAAAGATCAAATGCTCTGTAACAGTCAAGGTGGGAAAAAATAAGCTGTCTTGCGGGCAGAGACCGAGTGATTCGGTTATATCCGATCTGGATTGTACTTCTTTTCCGTTGATAATAATTTTGCCTGCTGTTTTTTTTATCATACCGGTTATCATTCCCATTGTAGTAGATTTTCCGGCACCGTTATGACCCAGCAGCACCGTAATTTGATCTTGGTAGATTCCCATGTTTAATTTTTTAACTACAGTCTTCTTGCCGTATTTTTTTTGCAAATCTATTAGTTCGATGCCCTTAGTTAGCTTTGATTTTTCTTGATCTCGCACTTGGAAGGACTCTGCTCCTTCTTCAATATCAACATTGTTGTGCTTTTTGAAAAACTAGATTTTTTTTTTTTTTTATGGTCAATAATAAGAATACCTATAAGAATAGAGTTCTTACGCTATGCAATTTTTTGAAAGGAAAAAATATGTCTTTTGGCATGCCATATTTTCCGGGATTTACAGCGTCCAGATAGAGGGCCAGAATCAAATAAATGAAGCAGTCGATTATCAACATAACAAATACGTTTAACATTGAAATGTCGTTGGAATCGTATCCTCCAGGTTTGTGGAAATTTTTCCAACGTACCCCAATTTCTAATAAAAGAAAAATATATTAAGGTTTGTAGCTGTTTATATCAAAGTATAAAAATAAACTTTAAAAAATAATACCTATGACTGAAAATAAAAATGGTTATCTTTGTATTTGCTTTCCAATTTATAATATTGGTCGCGTTCACCAGCACTCAACATGTTGGGTGATTAGTGAGCGGCTTTGTTCCAACAAGTGGAATTCACAAGGTAGAACAGTTTTGATTGGCCCAGAGCTGATTTTTATCTGTTATCAACAAAGCCGCTGACTGACTAATCACTCAACATGTTGAGTGCTGGTGAACGCCACCATTGTATGATTTTGAAACCGTTGATAAAGCATTAATTATTGCTCTATTTAAAAAAAAATACGTTGATTAAGGCTGAGCCAAACACGCAACGGAGTAATGAAATAAATATACACACCTACTTTTTGGTTTACTTCAATCTAAAATTTTGTTTATATGTTCCATGAATCATATTCAGCTTGGGAGAAACAACCTACCCAAAAATGAGATCATAATATGAACAAGTGTGTTAAATTCAAAGAAATAGTCCAAGAGATTTGAATGTTGGTTAGAAAGGAAAGCAAAACTCAAAGGTTCAGTTATAAGTACCTACATATAAGGTATAAGTAAGTAGATAAAATCCCTTACCTACATATTCATATTGCTGTATAGCAATAAAACCATAATGCAGTCCCATATTTGGAAATAACATAAGCAAAATACTTGTCGAAAATGGGACTTTAGGCTTTTTACCAATAATCAGATATTTAGGAAGTAAGTAAGACAAAATAACTAGAAAGAGTTGTGCCAATAATGTTGACAGAAAGGCTGAAACAGATAAAAGGAATTATTATGTATTTTTTAATTTGAAACGTAGTGCAATAAAATGAGGCAAGATTTAGATCTCAATAAATTTTTTTATGAAGAAAATGTACCCCGAGTAGCACACAATGTTGGTCCCATATTGGCATGTTGCGGATACATTGGACCAAATATTGGCATTTTCCAGCCAACATTGGACATTTATTGGCAATACAACTTCTTCCATCGTTATAATAACATATTTATCCAAGAATCGGCCAATATGCACAAACAATATTTTATCGGCAGCATATAGCCAAGATTGGTTACATATTGGCAATACATATTTTTCCACACTTTAATATCATATTTACACAAGAATGGGCTAATTTACACAAAAAAATTTCTTTATTGACATTATTTAGACAAAATTGGTTGATAATTAGCAATACAACTTTTTCTAATATTACCATAGTACCTATATAATGTAGGTATACTATTAATGGACTAATATGCACAGATAGTGTTTTTATTTGCATTATTAAGCCAATATTGGATATATAATGGCAAAACAAATTTTTCTAATGGGTATACCAGTGATATATTTATCCATTTCGGCCCAATATTGATTCTATATGGGTAAAATATTTTATAACATTTGACAGTTCGATTTTATTTAAATATGGGCGTTTGGGTTTGTTTTCCTTACTATCCTTACGTTCGGTATTTTGCTCAAAGAGCAGAGCGTGCAGAGCGGAGCCGTAATCACGTGACCAGCGAGCGCAGAGAGCCGTTAAACGCTGTATGAGAGGGGTCGAAATTTTATTAAACGAACGTGAATAAGCCTGCACTGAGTACACTTTTTAAATAAACGAACGGTAAAGTCATGCTCAGAGAACTCAGATCGAAATACTGAACGCACGGTCTAACGTCAAACCCGAAAATGTTATTGCAAGATGTGGATGTGGGTTTCTGGTTGAATTTAAACATAAAAGGTAAAAAAACTGCTCAGTAAGGTACGTAGAACGTGTAATATCCAATCCATTCCTTGAAGATCCGGGGGACCAACATGGTAGGTTGAATTTTTAACTAAAGCAACTTTAAACAATGAAGGGGAGGATTACATCGTCTGTAATTCCTTGGACCTAATAGCTCTAACCTCACTTTTGTATAATCGCTTTCTATAACCAGTTCGTTTTTGTGAAAAATAAATTTAATATCAAACTTTATTAGGTGGGGGTAATTTCGACAGAACACCAGTGGTGAGGCTAATAACCGTACGGTTATAGCTCGTGATAACACGGTTACAAATGGTTACTCGCTAAAAAATCCTTCATGACTAGAATTATTAAATACAGATATACAGGTAAAATACAAATATTAACGTTTCCAGTCTTATTATTTACTAAATCTATCATCACAGTTTAACATCATTTATAAAAAACAAAACATTTACATTTTACACACAAACTGTATATAAACATACACACTTATCAAGTAGGCTTTGATTCTGTGAGAATAATGAGAGTTTCCATACATTTATTAAATTCAATTTACATTATCTATTTCTCCCTAAAAACATTTGCAGGTTTACTACTTCACTACCTTACTACACAGTACACATATTATTAACATTACCAAATAACTTTCAACTGACAACCAAATCCAGAGCGTTCAAGCAGTTGATTATTTAAACTTAAGGTATTCGTTGAACTTTTGGTTGTTCCTAACTTGTCTGCCAGACCTAGTAATAACAGTTTGAGAAATTGTATTCTTCAAAAAATGATTGCCAGACATTGCACTCGACACGCTAGAGCTCTCACCTGTGGAGAGCCCAGCTTCATTCTCTGTTTTCCAATTAGTTACAGAGTCGGTGGACTCGTAACTACAAGCACTAGATGTTGAACTAGATAACTTGTCGAGGTCTGACTGTACAGACTCACGACCTCGAATCTAGGCTCAAGGAACGACTATAAATTCGGCCCTTAGGAGACTAGCACCATTATGCGCCGAATGGACATGGTAGTTTAATCTCGCTTAGTTCGAAAATTTGCATATAAAAAAGAAGTCCTAATCTGATTTTAGCAACTAATCCGGATTAAGTCTTCACGGTGCATTTGGGCGTAAGAGATGTACCATCGTCACCAAAACTAACTGGGACAGCAACATATTATAGTCTAGGAGGCAGTGACGATTTTCGGTACTTATTTTCCCAGTCACGAAACATGGATAGAATTGTAGGGTCAGTAATTTTAAGCAAAATTCATGTAAATTAAGGGGGGGTTTTCCGATGGGTTGTGGCGGAAAATGCGTCAGAACATACGAAACCAGGGTCTTTTTTTTCCAGTGATAAAAATATTTCTACTAGTAAGAGGTATACTGAAATTACGTAAAAAAATAGTCTGGGTAATCAGTGAATATGGATAATTTGTCTGGCAAGTGGAAGTTTGAAAAATTTTCAACAAAAAAATTTCCCCTCATTTTCGCAGTCATGAAAATTTATCTGATGATGGCCTATATTATAATGTCAGCTTAAAATACAATCTGGCTAATATGGAACTCCCCCAAGGCCTTGCCAGATTTGTTGAATGATCGCAGGCGCGCTAAATTCGATTCGATTATACAGATTATTAGAGTCACATGTAGGTACATGTTATATTTGTTCCATCCACCCCTACGAAAATAATTTTTTTTATCTTGCATAGGCGAGCGTAAGCGCAATTGAAACATGCTAGTATAATAGTCACTTTTACTTATTCAAGATAAAAATTAGTTAGTTTTATATCCAGTGCGCGAAATGCTTGGAATGCAGATAACTATTGACGAATTCATTAATTTTGATAAAAATGCGAAAAGACTCTATTTTGCATGGTATTTTGAGTGATGTACCTACGTATCTACCAAAATCTGGTTAAGGAAAAATATATAACTATATTTAATCAAACATAATAATCAATATTTAAATGACGAATGGAAAATATAATTGAAATTAATCATCTTCTTTATCAATTTCTCCTTCGTCATCGCTATCACTATCATCATAATATCACTATCATCATAATATTTATATCATCAAATACTGGTTGAACTGGCAGTTCGTGATTGTAAGTGACAGCCAGACATTTTTTTTCTGTAAAACTATAGTATAATCTATCGTATGACAAATTTTCAAACTTGAAAAAATAAGGGCAAAAATTTTCTATTTTCCCGATTTTGAACATGCCGCCAGACTCATTAGCCAATTCCGTGAATCAGCCAGACTTAATTTTAATTACAGTTAATGATAGTATCAATTTATATGCTAAATTTCAAGCTTGGGAAAATAAGGGTAACCGATCCGCAAAATCGGTAAAATTTTCAGCCAGGCTCATATTCCGTGACTTAAGATAAGCCAGACTGCTATTCTCATATACTTTATGTTCTATTTTAGTAAATGTGGAAAATTTATGACTAGGAAAATAAGTGCACTTGTATTTTCAATACATCTTGTAAACCCATCCAAAAATTTCAGCCAGACTAGAAAATTATTGTGTTGTGTGACTAAGAAAACAAACTATTTTATATGCACCAACTAGGAAAATAAGTGCTAAAAAATTTCACTGCCTCCTGGACTATTAGCTCTTGTACTATTATATGTCTCTTAGTGTCAAATATTTGTCAAACTATGAATAAAATGAATGATGGTAGAAATAGTCCAGACGATTATTATGAATTATTTTTGTCTGAGATACTTTTGATGACGATCTATATCAATCAGGACTACCGAGAGAGGGCCCCACGCGCTATTGATGGCCTTGATCTTTCCTAGCGTGTGAGTTTTCTTCAAACCTGTTTCTTTAAATTGGTGTCAGCCCCTTCGATCTCTCATTGCCAGTAATAAATTACATAATTAGTTTTTTCCCTTTCTCTAGATGTCGCTAACAACAACAGAATTGTAAAATACCAGTATATCAAAGACACGTCCGATGTCGATAACATTGACAAGTCAACATATTGTCAACTACTTAAGTAAATATCACTCTGTACATCAATTTTACTAAAGTGTGTCGACGAGTTAGCATTTATTTGGTATAAATACAGCGCCGAAATCCATTACTGGCATACTAAAGCTAGTGCGAGCTACCTCTAATGGAAAAAGCCCCTCTAGCTAAGTCTCCTCCCAGTGCAAACTACCTTTAATGGGAAACGCCCCTCTGGGAGTATTGAACTCCGCAGACTAGGTTTAGTGCAAACTACCTTTAATGGGAAACGCCTGGACCTGTCTCAAACCTAGTTCCAGTCTTCAGTCACGCCAAGTGTACAGAGGGTACATAATTAATACAGAGTGGCCCAGAAGTAGTACGTCCCTCCGCAGAAGAGACATCATGATACCATTTCATTTCTAGGGTAATACTATTATTATTCAATACACATCTTATTATACCTATACCAAGCGAGTTTCTCTCTCCCTGAACCCCACCTACGCCTCCAAGTCACGCTCCTGTTATGACGTCCCAGGACGAAACGTATAGGGGTTGTGACAATATGCCAAAATATTCATTTTGATTATAACTAATTCATAATGTTTTTCGTTCGCCGGTCTTGCATTTGGTCTTTCTTTGTGTTGTTAATTATTTTTAAGTGATTTCAAAGTTGTTTTGTGTGTTTCACGAAGACCTTCAAACCTTATAGATAGGAAGATCTATTTTTATCTTTGTTGATTAGATAAATGACAGGTTCAATTAAACATCAATCAGAAATTTGAACAAATATGTTAAGGATACCCTTAACCATCGATAAGGAAACTGTTTTTTGATCTAATTAACAAAAAATCAATTAATTTAAGCAAAAATTGATGCCCCAAAGTCTAGAATAAACAAATTTGAACAGCCCGACAGTAATGCGAACAGGGGCCTGTTTCATAAATATGAAGTGCTGAAGAGTTAGGAG